TCCTCTCCCCTTCCTTCTGTGTATGTATGGGCATATGCGGAAGTCTATGTGAGTGAGTGTTGGCCTTCAGGCAACGAACAACCAGAATCATAACACAACTCTCCATTTTCCCACTGGCTTGCACAGTTGTCCATCGACCCACCCATCCATGAGAAAAAAAATAAGTTGAACCGAGCCATCCAACCCCTCTCCTCCCTCTCTCCCTTCTCCTGGGTACCCACCCCCTCTTTTCCCCATCCAACTACCTGCTTGTGTGCCCTTCTCCGCTTAAGCACTTGTTCCTTCATCCGACCTTCCATTCAGTTCACCACACATCCAGCCGCCCGACCATCACCGAAATGACACCCTCACCGGTATACCTCTTCCTCAATCCAGCTGTCCATCTATTCATCCATACATCCGATCACCCATCCATCCAACGATATGACCAAGAACCTGAAGAGTGGAGTTCATAGGTTGCAGACTATACCTGTGCCCCAGATGTCTGAAGATGAGTCCTGCCGGAGGCTTCTCTCTTCCTTTGTCAGTCGACCCTGGTGGTAAATACATTTCCTGATCTTCTATCTGTGCAGCAAAGAAGTCCAAGCCAATTTCAAGAAAAAAGGAAAAGAATTCACCTAAGTGTCAGCATGATTGATGCACATTCGCTTACATTACTGGCTTTCATGTTGCCTATATCCAGCATGATTTGAGCTCAGTATTTGACCATGTCCAGCCCAAGCCAGTACGTACATACCAGAAACCCACCACAAACTCAGGGAGGTACATAGTGTCCCTAGGTTATAGGCCAAAATTTCCATTTTCCACTGGAAGCTTCACACATGCAGAAGCACATACTCATGCACACATGCAGAAAGACGTACTCATGCACACATGCAGGCAGCAAGCATTAGTGTACACATGGTGGCACACAGACGTACATCACTCAGATTCACGCATAGGCCAACCTACCGTTTTCAGGTTCGAGGTGCTTCCTGCTATACTATATGTCTGCAGGCACAGTCAGAAAGTTGCTGCTGTAGATGAGATTCCCATGCACTGTCTTTTAGGGAATTGGCAGTAGGGTTTCTCTGTGCTGCATGAAGATTTGCAACCCCAGGTAGCTCTCCTGTTTGGTGGTTGGAAGTGTTCGCTTATTTGGATGTCTTTAGTGCAATTGTGCATATGGGTGGACCCTTCCCACTCCACCAAACGGATGTAAAATCTTGCACTTCTTATTTTCAGCCTCAATTTGAGCTTCAGATTGGTGGTGAGTTTTTAGTGACTTTTTGACAACACACACACACACACACACACACACACACACACACACAAAGAGAGAGAGAGAGAGAGAGAGAGAGAGAGAGAGAGAGAGAGAGAGAGAGAGAGAGAGAGANAGAGAGAGAGAGAGAGAGAGAGAGAGAGAGAGAGAGAGAGAGAGAGAGAGAGAGAGAGAGATTGTGATGTAGATGAGATTCCCATTGGCTGTTGGAGTACAGGGTGACTTAGCCAGTACACCTTCTGGCACATGTTTCACATTACTTTTTTTGAGTGCAGGTTCTGCAAGTCGTGGGTATGGGTCATCGAACAGGGCTGTTCTTCCTTATGGGGTTTCTTTCGGGCCAGCCTGCTTTCCTGTTGGGACAATTTTGGGGACGGATGATGTTAGTGATGGCTGATGTTGTGACCTGGAACTCCTGTGATTTTGGTCATCGAGCAGGACTGTTTTTTCTTATGGGGTTCCTTCAGGCCAGCCTTTTTTTTTTTTTTTTTTACAAGAAAACAGAACCTCAAGGTTCTGGCTCCTGCCATTCTGGGGAGCAACAGTCCGGTTCCTTTCCCCCGGCAAGTCGAAAAGAGATACATAAACAACGCACACACGCTCCTCCCCATTATGGCTGGGAGGACCGAGAGGGCGGCATTGATTACTTCCCTCAGGAAGGATATACCACCCCTCACCCCTGCATAAGTTAGCCTGTACTATGTCTATTACCAGTCTCTATAATCCCGGTTGTACTCCTCTCAGAGTTGAGACTGTCGGATAGGTGTGTTTTACCAGAGTTTATCGGGACACATTTGACTTCCTGAAGAAAACTAGAACCTCTTGGTCTGTTTTCTGTCTAAATCCTAAACCCTAAACCCTACGTTCTATTGTTACTTTGCTATAACAACTTATAGTGTATAAGTAAACGTGAGTTGATCTAGCAGGGGGACAATTCTTCCTATTCTCATTCATGTTCCTCTTAAAGTGTCGTTGCTTTTATACCAATCCCAAATTTACTACCTGTGATTGGTCCTGAACTAGTGACATCAGGTTTTCTGTCTCATCCCGTTGATCACTCAGTTGGGTCCCTGCAATTTTCCAGAGTAACCTTGGAATATTGCCTTCAATGTCTCCTAGCTTTCCTTCACCCAGTGTTTCTTTTTTAAACTTGTCAATAACTTCTTGCTGCCTAGTGGGGTCTAGTTTTATGATCTTCACTACTTTGTTCCAATCAGCTTGATATTCATCTTGTAGTAGGTGAAGGAGATTCCTCCAAGCTTCTGGCTCTGATGTGAGTTGAGAAGCTATAGTTTCCTTGCACCTTTTTTTCCATATTATCCAAAGAGTAACGGGTCGGAGTCTTCGAAAGAAGGTCCTTTGCCACATTGTGGATAGGTTTGGTTCCTGCAGCCCAGTTAACCTTGTAATGCTGTTGCCTGGTAGGGTTGTTCCTGTTAGAGAAGCCCACAACGATTCTGTTCTCTTCCAAATGGTGTTCGCCTTTGGGCACAACAGCAAACAGTGAAGAAGGTCTTCAGGGACTCCATCCTGAGAAATAGCACAGAGATCGTCTAGTGGATGTCTGTCCCCCTGTGAACGCCGCCTGTTCAGCCACTTGTTGACTGGAAGTGCATGATAGTAGATGAGCCATTGCATACTCCTGATGCGGGTGTTTCTGATCGCTAACGGGACTTGCCATGAGATCTGAGTCCCAGTCCCCAGACCACCCGAAACGTGTTTTGCTATCTTGTTAGAAGTGTATCACTTGTATTGACTGATCGCCTCCGCAGTTTGTATCCAAACCTGGTTGTGTAATCCAGGATACTTGTTCTGTGTTCTACCGTTGTTAAAGCCGTAGAAGTTTTCCAAGCCCATTCAGCTGGGTCGAATTCGAGTTCTTGCAACTCCTCTGTGGGGTTGAAGATTCGATACTCGTCATCTTCAATCACACTCACTTTTCTTTACTGCAGACGTACTGGCCGTTACTTTAGCTTCACTTGTCTTAGTGACGACGCTAATAGTCTGTCCCGGTTGCTGTACGTCATGAATTGACCACAATGCCCATTCTCCTGCCGGACCCGTGAGCTTGACGAAAGAAAGTGCCACTGTCGGGATAACTTCCCATCTTCCTGTAGCCCACTCTCCTGCTGTCCATTTGGAGGGCGCTTGTAGAATCTGCTGCCATTCTGGGGGAATGGATTGAAGGAGTGTCGTGAGATTATCTAGCAGATTATAGCAACCCTTGAGCGTACAACCCACGTAATCCACTATCCATCTTGGGTCGTTAGCGTCCAAGGTTTATTGGCTTGGTTTTTAATCCATTGGTTGCAAAAGAGCGGCTGCCTTAAACCTTCTTCCCTGTTTGTTGGTCTTCGCGTCTTGGCTGGGAAAATCTCCCTCCAGGATTTAATGAGGTACTCCGACGAGTTGACCTTGTGTTTTCGTATGGATGTATAACTACTGTTCTTGTCCGATATCTCTGGTTAGGGTAATCGCTATTGCTGTTAAATTCTATGACAATTCGATAATTACGATCGGGGTTATACTTGCAGCTATTTCCCAGGGTAAGTTCAATCTTTACGATCGGGGTTCTATTCGCAGCTTTTTTCAAGGTAAGTTCAATCTCCTCAATTACAATCTTAGTTTGGTCTTAGTTTCACTTTAACATCATCTATTCTGAATCATTGGCATATCTGTAGGAATCATCACGATAATTACGCAGTTTTGTTCCTTGGCTATACCCTTTAATAAATCCTGAGTGTTTCTGAATTTCACTATCATAGTATATCTGTACGAATCATCACGATAATTACGCCGTTTTGTTCCTTGGCTATACCCTTGAATAAATCCTGAGTGTTTCTGAATTTCACTATCGTAGCTTAAATTCTGATAGTTTTTTCCAAATTGGTGGGAGTTGTCATGTTCATTAGGCGCAAGGGGAAGGGGAATGATTGTAATAAGCTTTACTGCTGCCCTGTGCCCTCTTCAACGGGTCATTTTCAAGAGAAAATTCCGAGTTTATTCCTGAGGGCTGGATCGATTATTTTAGAAGGTAGAATTGGGAGAGTGGGGTGGATAGGAAGCGCTATCCTGCAAGGGATTCACAAGGAGGGGGGTGAATGTCTCGAAGAGGGTAGAAGCGGAGTTGGGGGGTTGTCCTGTTTCTGGGGCTGGGGTGGTGGGAGGGGTCAACATCGTCCTCAGTGGAGGCAGAAACAGGCAAGGGGTGGCGAGGGCATGTTTTAGGAGGGAACTGCGTGTCCTCGGGGACAGGGGTGGAGGGGTTTGGTCCTATATTGGGGCCGAGGGAGAGCGGAACGCTCGCCTCGGTGGGGGCAGTATAGAGCTGAGGGGGTAGGGGGAGGGAGGGGTGTTTTTTCTTTCGAAGATTTCTGATCTTCCAGCCCAGCAATTTTTCTCTTTAGTCATTCCATTTGGTTCGCCTCTCGAGGACGTTGTAGGAATGGGTGAAATCTGGCAAGTCATCTTTGATCCTGCGTAGGGTGGTTGAAAATTCGGTGGCCCTCGATGACCGATGCTGGAGCGACGCTGGCTGGAGCCGGAGCCAGGTGGCGCAACTCTGTGACCTAGCTTAGTGGGGGCGTGAGGCCTGGTAGAGATCTGGGGGGCTGTTTGCGGGGGCAGTCTCAGTGGCCATCGGGGGTCGTAACTGAAGCAATGCTGGTCGGCGCTGGAGCAAGGTGGTGCAACTCTGTAACCTAGCTTGATGGGAGCATGAGGCCTGGAAGAGCTCCGGTTCGTGCTGAAAGCAGCCATGCTGGTGGTGATCGCAGGTGGACTGAATAGGTTTCACCTATCTGATTCGTGGTTGGGAGGCTTGTTGACACACATTTTCCGAAGGTTGCTGAGTTTTTTTCTTCAATTGTTCTTAGCCGAAGATGGGTAATGGCCCCGGTAGCTCTTTGTTGTATTCTGATAAGGGACGCTGGGCCCGGTTCCCAGCCGTGTTGCTCCCCACGAATAGATTGGAGCATCGTCTCAAATAATATATATTCTTTCTTTTTTTGTGTGTGTGTGTGGCGGGGGGGGGGCAGGGAGCAGGAAGAACAAAGCTCTAATCTCTATTCGTGGGGAGCAGGACATGCTGGGAACCGGGCCCAGCGTCCCATACAAAAATTTATACAGAGAATTCTGAGGGACTGGCGCCATTACTCCGCTTCGGCTGAGAAAGACGAGGACTGGAACATTCCCTTGAAGGTTGTGCAAATGTCGTCACCTCTGAGGATCGCCGCCTCTGCATGCAACGGAGGGTGTGGCTTCCCTGCTGTGGAAAAGGTCCACAGGCTAGTTCTGCATCAAC